TCATAGGGCAGCGAATAAAATAAAAAAACAAATGTACATATATACATATATATATATATATATATACATATATATATGCATGCTTTTGTATTGTATATATTTTTTTTCATTGTTTTTATTTTTTTATCTTTTTGTTTTTGATTTAATTTGTTGTTTTAAAATTATTTAGAGGGTTTATGCAGAAACTGCTGTTTATTATAATTTGTTTAACGTCTTTCTTATTTCTTTTCTTCAATAATTCTTCTTTAGTGTATTTGTTTTTTATTTTTGTTTGTATAGAATATGCTGCAGTGTACGTAGACCCCAAACGAACAAACAAATATATAAACAATAAATATATAAACAAAACAAACAAAAAAAAACAAACAAATGATTAGGTAAAGACAGTAAACCCCTCCTTTATGTTTATTTTATTATTTCAACTCCGCAGTTTTGTTTGCAGTTGAAAAAAAAGGTTTATTCACCCCTCAAAATAATTAGGGTTTAGGGTTTAGGGTTTAGGGTTTAGGGTTTGCTTGCACTGCAGCATATTTTCTTCTGCTGGTCTGGATTTCTTTTGTTTTTATTTGCACTCTTAAAAATATTTTTTAATGCTTCACCCCTGAATTCGCTGTCTGCTGCTGCTGCTGCTGCTGCTGCTGCTGCAGTTGCTGCTTCAGTTTCTGCTGCAGTTGCTGCTGCTGCAGTTGCTGCTGCTGCTGTTATTTCCGTTTGTATTTGTTATATTTTAATATTTTTAAAAAATTTAATTTAATTTTTTAATTTTTATTTGTTTAACAATGATAATAAAGCTCATATTCCTTTGGATGGGGTGTATGCGCAACTAATCTGCATTCATTTCGTTTATATTCAATATATGCGTCAATGAATTCCTGCATACACCAACAAACCCTAAACCCTAAACCCTTCTTTTTAAACATAAAACAGCAAACATCTTCTAACAAACCCTAAACCCTTAATTTAAATCAATTAATCTCTAATATTTTTATAATTTTTTTTAGTTCTGAGCTACGCATAACTCTACTGATGAAAGAGAAGAAAAAGAGAAAGCAAAACAGCAGCAGCAGCATCAACAACAGCAACAACAAAAGCAGCAGCGGCAGCAACAACAACAACAACAACAACAACAACAAAAGCAGCATAAGAGAAAGAAGAGGTGTATATACACCACAGAAAAAGAAAATAGAAATATAAAAACAAACAAAGGCAGCACTACAAGATGTAAACAAACAGACAAAATAAACATGAAGAAAAACCCTCAATGAACAAATAAACAAATAAACAAAGACAAACAAATAAAACAAAGACAAACAAAACAAACAACAAGACAAAGACAAACAAACAAACAAAGACAAACAAATAAACAAAGACAAACAAATAAACAAAGAAATAAGTAAATAAATAAATAAATAAGCAAATAAATAAATAAACAAACCTTAGTAAATACATTGCCTTGCAGCAGAAATTGATAATCTTGTTGAAGTGCATCAAGAGCAGCATCTAAGTCTTTTGGAGTTGTTTTGATATTATGTTTCTCTGCATTTATATTATATAAATTACATTCAATCGGCTTAGGGGGTTCTATTTGTCTTTTAATGCCGTCTGCTGCTGCTAATGCAATTGCAGAAAAAGCTAAATAAGGACAAGAAGAACAGTCAGGGCATCGAAACTCTATTCTTGTGCTGCTGCTGCTGCTGCTGCTGCTGCTGCTGCTGCTGCTTATTGGGATACGAATTGCTGCGCTGCGGTTTCCCTGTAATATAAACAAACAAACAAAAAACATATTGTTATTATTATTATTATTA